CTGGTATGAAAATGGTTAAAACCAGCAGAACCAGATGGGTTGGCTATGATGGTTAACATTGTAATCACACAATTCTTACAAGTAAATCTGGGGCTGCATATTGCTGCCCATTCATGGACAATTATCTAGCAGTGGAAATATCTTTTTCAGTCTAGAAAAGACAATAGACAACTGGCTGGTAATAGTAAAGAACAAAACAAATCCTTGTTGAGAGAAATGACCCAAAGCTCTTGATCCTGCATAGGAATGTTAAATCAGATATAATATTTCTCCCACATGAAAGTCTTGTATGACCAAAGGAAGTTAAAATAACACAGGTATCTCAAGTCAAGAAACAGAAAAGGAAAGAGTCGTAACAGAGAGCCCCTAATGTGGGACAAAACAGGGCAAAGTTTTACTTTGTCAAAGAAAACAGCTTGTGATAGGATATGGTTAGCTGGAATCTGCATCACAGGCTAGCTAGCTGAGATAAATGAAGACACCCCCACCCCTTTGTAAGCGAAGGTTTGGTGATGCAGATAAACAGTAAAGGCCCTGCCGGATACTAGAAGCACTTTATAAAAGTGAGGATACTTTAGTGGTACCAGGACCCTCAGACCTGCCTGGTGATGTACCATTAGGAAGAGACTTCCCTTACTGGAAACAAGTATTTGGAAAATACTGTAGCCACATTTAGTTTTTATCATGGTGTGCATTTTGTTCTTTGTTCCAAGCCTTTAGGTGCTTGGAAAATCACTAATGAGCACTGATCTCTCTTTTTCCCCTTAGGAAAAAAGGAATTTTAACAGCTTCGATAAGAAGCTCTTAAGTCTCTGGATGTCTTTAAAAAGAGAAGGAGATTGAGAGGGAAATTGTGGTTTTGGGCTGGGACATGGAGACGTATAAAATGAAGTTCCTACTACCATGTGATATGAATCAGCCTTTAAAAATGGTGTGCAGTAGCTAGGCCAGCCCCAAACTAGAGGATGAAATTTACAAGGACATTGACTAGAAAAGGATATCAGTATGCTCAGTTAAATATCTGAAAGGTATTCTTTCACTAGAGCAAAATTTTACAGGAAATAAAAAGTCATAAGGGCCCTGAACTTTAATTCCATGTGCTCGTCTGATGCAGGTAGAAGGGATTTTCCTCAGTAGCCTGCAACCCAGTGGACCAAGTCCAGTGCAAAAACAGTGCTGATGCAGAGACTAAGGTGATGACAAATAAAGACACCACAAAGATATCTGAGAGAGAAGGGGAGAGCAAGAAGCCATGGAATGGGTGATCATCCGTAAATGTGAGTTGTAATGTGAGTTGTAACCCTGTAACCATCATCAGTGTGGCTTATTGCAACGTTTTAATCAGCCCTCTGAGTGATTCTTGCAATGACTCAACAGGTCTCAAGGCTGGTATGCAGCAACAGGCTCATATTGCAGACATTTGGCCAAAAATGTTACCAGATGCCACTCTTGCTATCCAGCATGCTCATATTTTACTACATTTTACCCTTGCCTTTGCAACATGCATTTTAGCAACACCATTAGAAACCGAATTGCTTGATCTAGAATTTCAGTGCTGTTCTTGTGCCTTTCTTCCATCATTAACTGGGGATGAAGCTGGGGATGAAGATGTCTATTATCTTTGCCTCAAAATGGGATCAGTGCTGATCAGTCACCAGGAAGCTACTTCAAAACAAACCAAAAATCCATTCAGTTGCATGAAATGCCCTATTTAATATGATTGGTCAGAAGCTGCAAATGCTTCCCAAGCCAACATGCCTTGAATGTATGGTGAAGAATAGTATTGAAGGAAGGCAAGCACTGTGCTTTGTATCTTGGAGCTAATCTTCAGCCTTCCATGTTAGGAGGGCAGCTTTTGCCCAGCATTCTTCCCCCTGCCCCTGGTGGAGAAGGATATAAAGGCATGGAAGAGAAAGGAAGTGACCTTCACTCTCACTATGACTATCATTATGTATAAACCTAAGAAGTTCAGCAAGCAAGCAATCCCAATTTTAAGGATGGTACTAGGGTACTACTGCTTCCATTTATTTTCTGTGTTGTAACTCTTCAAACTTTTGATCAAATTTCAAACAAGTACGGGTTTGTTTATTGTATTTATTATATTTATATTCCACATTCCTTTTTCCTGTGGCTTACATAATCCGGCTCCTCCTCCTCTCCATTTCATCCTCACAACAACCCTGTGAAATAATTAGACTGAGAGTCTGTGACTGGCCCAAGGTCACCCAGTGAGCTTCATGGTTGGAACAGGGACTAGAATCCAGATTTCCTGAGTCCCAATCTAGTGCTCTAACCATTACACTACACTGACCCTCAGTTACCTATATATTTTCTGACTAAGAGAGAGAGAGAGAGAGAGAGAATCATATGCACCTGCATACTTTCTTGTATATGTTAGATACTTTTTATGTTTACTCTTTCATTTGGTATTGAGCTTCCACATAATTGGCATAAGTAGATCAGTTATAAACCCAGTCCCCCAGTTATGAATGTCCAAGTTAAGAACAACCTCTATTTATGAACAAGCAAACTCAGAATTTCTGTCAAGCAGCAAGCTGGTGCCCACAGGCAGCATGCAATGAATGCAGGCAGCATGGAGAGGGAAGAACGAAGGGTAGAATAGGAAGAGAGGAAGGAAGTGAGGAAAGAGGTAAAAAGGGGGGAAAGTGGTGAGGGGCACTGGACAGCAGTGAAGTCAGAACTAGAAAGCAGTAACCCCCCCCCCCCCAGCAGCACTAGCAAGCCTTGACACTCCAGCAGCAGATCCATCCTCTCCAATACCAGGCCTATCTCCATCATCATCCAGTTAATGTTAGGCTTAAAATTAGCCCAAGAAGTGTTAACCTTTAATAATTTCTTTACTATTTTTTCTACCTATCTTTCTATCTAAACTGTTTTAAGAACTGTACTGTACACACATACATATTCTCTCTTCAGTACCTGTAGTTACTTTATCATTACTATATTGTTAGCATTGTGAAAATGCTGTATTTGTTTAAGATGTTTTAGTGTATAAGAAAGTGTTTATTGTTTTATATGCTTTTTATATATGTGATCAACTTACATACAAATTTGACTTTAAAATTATCTCAGGAATGGAACTCATTCTTAACCCAGTGGATGGGTATAGTTTCTTCAGCATTCGTAATTATTATAAGAATTACATTCGTAATTACACTCATTTTGTTGCTTTTAATTTGGAAACAAATAAGGAAATAAAATTTCATGGAAAAAAAGAAACTGAACTGCTTGACCTAGTCTTATGTGGTTGTTCTCAGTTCAACTCCCTGTTCCTTTTCTCTACTTTTGCTGAACGTGGGGACAATACGGCTGGCTTGTCTCAAATTGGAATCCTTAGGGTTCGGTCAAAGGAGAACTACTTTGTAGTTCAGATCTCAGTTCTGTAACAAAACTGAAAAGAGCCGCAGCTGCTTAACAGCCAATGAACACCTGTGCAGAAAAACACAGAAGACTAATTTTCAATTGTGTTGCCCTGAAGAGACAATGATAATGAATACATACAGATGGGTGGATTTTGGAAGTTCTTAGAACAAGCTACTGAGTTAAAATAGTGTTTTTTTCCATGATGGTATATCATTGTCATTGTATGTTGCACTGTGGATTATCCCGATGTGTGTGCAGGCATGTGCACACGCATTTACTTTTGCACTCATGATCTTAAAGTCACCTGATTTTCTCTGTAATGAGACTTATTGGTGGAACAGGAGAATGTGGGCTAAACAGATGCTTCTGTACAGCTATGTGAATTGCCTCTCCCCTGCTTTGCACTCATACAGTTACAGTCACTTGGGTTGTTGCTAGAACAAAAGCTATGGTCCCAAAGACACGCTTTTATGATGATGTTCATTATATGCAAAAAAGTTACCAGTGATTGCTCCCTTAAAACTTCAGCAACTTCAGTGTGATTTCTTAAGGAATCATCACACTCTTTTACTATAGCATAATTCAAACACTCCTCCAGAGTCTTTAGCATGGCCAAGTTCAGTAGACTGAGGGAATCCAAACAGAAGCCAGCAGCAAAATATTAAAATCCAAGGTTTTAATCCATAGCAGGATCCCATTAATGGGAGTCAGGGTGTGATATAGTACAGGGGACCTGCAAAGGAATGTCCAGGATCTAGCAGAATCCTAATAAACTTGGTTTTGCCTCCATGCTAGCTTTCATGCAGGGCTAGAGCAACTAGAGAGCCTCACTCAACCTAATTATACAAGGAAATGGCCTGAAGGCCTGAATTTTATCGGGCTAGTTGCTTTTACTTTTGCCTCTTCAACAAATGCCATCCCATAGGAGAAAGCTTGGACATGCTCCTTTTTTCCTGCTCAGTTATCAAGGAATGTTCTTCAAACACTTTTCCCATGGCTGGATCTGGTGATGCTTGAGAACAAGCAGGTTCCTCCCTATCCTTGTCTACTATGAAACTGGGTAGAGATGATTTCCCAGTGCCCTTCCAATCCATTTCATGACCAAGTCTTAAAACACCTTCTAATAACTCAGAATCTGCAACATCAGGTGAAAGCATGAGGAGGGTAGGTTTGGATCTTCACAATACTTGCTACTCAGAAGACTGCTTTTCTGTGTGACTGTAGGGGTATTATTATTAGCATTATCATTTTCACTGTGGCTGAGTAGAAATGGTTTTGTGCCAGTGCTTGTAAACTTCATGTGCCTCAGTTTTTACTTTTTGTGGCATGGATTGCTGGTTGTTTTAGGCTGAAAAGGCTGCTGCACCACAGGTGGCCCTGCTCTCTGCTCCACTGGTTTCCATTCTGCTGATATTTTCAGCAAAGGACCACATATCACCACCACCACCAGGGCAAATTCATTTATATACCACTTTAGAAAGGTAAGATTGCAATCAAAATTTTGCTAAACACCACAAAATAGCCACCTTTAGGGTTGGATATAAAACTTTAAGTAACAAACATTTGCCTAACAATTACTAAGTCAAATCGACTAAGGAGTCAGTCATAGAAGATAGGTTACAATTTTTTAAAGATTCCGTTTAAGCTGATTATCCAAAGCAGCATTGTTAAAATAACATACCAGAAATAAGAACATGACATGGAATAAGACGACACATTATATTATATAGTACATTAAGTATAATTAGTCATTCTTCCTATAGTGATGAAATCGTTCCAACAGTGCTCTCCCAATGCTTCCTGGTCGTGTCTGGTGTTTGTCTATTAAAGCCTGTAAAGCAAGCTTTGCCTGTTACAAGAAGAAAAAAAATCATGTAAAGGAAAGATGAACTCTACCCCACTTCTCTACAAGGAAGGCAGGGAATAAACCAGCACCCCAGCTCATTAACTACAGCTCAGAGTAGGGGAGCCTCGAGTCTCATGGATATAAAGGATGACTGGCCATGAGCTCCCACTCTTTTCTTGTCCCATGTCCCCCAGTCCAAAATCAGTTTCAGTAAGGTTCACCCAATGGCACTGAAATTAGCTCTATGTTACTTGGAAAAGACACACCCAGACAAATCTAGAGATACAAAGGAAATTTATTACAATAGAATGGAGGAGGGGGACATGGAAATTTAATAGAGTAGGGACCAGATAGGAGTGCCAAGCATATTTGGCTGAATTGTGCTTTATATAATGTGGCAGAGGCTGAATGATCACAGGATGCTACATATTTGGTTTACAGTGAATGGTTTTTGCAGCCTGTCGTGTGGTAGGGTATTCTGTGTGAATTAAGACCCAGCAGACACTGGCATCATCCTCATCAGGGGGCTTGTAGATCCATTTTGATGAACAGGCCCCATGTCCCTTTAAACTAATTTGCCTTTATCTTTAAAATTAAACTTTGGAAACTGTCATTATTATTTTACTGGTGAAAATCAGTATAAATAAAACGTAATGACATCCTGAGGTAGAGTAAATATTGCTGAGATTTATACTCTAAGAAAGAAATCAGTATACCTTTTTGGCCAGCTCTTCAGCAGTTATATTTGGATCATGTGGAATGGGCTCTCCTATATATGTTGTCCATTTGACAGGAAATCCACCATATATAGGAACCACTGGTATTCGAAGATTTTCATACATTTCTTTCAGTGCCCCTGTATAAAAAGTAAAGAAAGGTGATGTACTAAGATACATAAAGCAGTTTTCAGATTGGTAAGAATCTAATATGAAATTACATCTGCAAATTGAAGTCCTAATGTGCATTTGTTTGTGTGTGTGTGTGTGTGTGCGCGCGCATGCACATACAATATAAGAATGAATTTATCCTGCAGACCTTTGTTTTAACAGGCAAACTGTGATGCAACATCACCATATTTGCTACTTTCCCACCCCTGTTCCAGAATATTCTAGATCAAAAGGCTGCCATTTGAAGGGGTGCTAAAATGTTAAACATGCTGACAAAACATGATTGGCTGCTGAATGTTTATATCTGTCCTACTTTCTGCAAGTCCATCAAACCACCAAGCTGTTGGAGGCAAGAGCTGGTGGCTCAGCCCGAGGTATGAGAGCCAAAGGGCTCCTGAAAACAGGCTTATGGAAACAGACTTGGGGCAAAATGATGCAGCTTCCCCCTCAATAGCCCAGGAACCCAATAATTTGGTGGCTAGATCAGCTACAGAGATGTGATGCCTGTGTGTACAACCTGGCCTCTGTCCCTCATTGTCCACTAGATCAAATGCCTGCCACTTGCAAGGATGATAAAATCCTGGGCATGCTGATAGAGTCACTTAATACTGTACTATGCATTATTAGGGAAAGTTGGTCGCAAGACATATCATCCAACACACTTTTTCCAGGCTAATGCCTTCCAGAGCTGTTATCCTACAATACCCATCATACCCAGATGGTAATGCTATGGCTGGGGTCATGGACATTTTAGTCCAACACATCTACAAGGCTTCAGGTTGGGAAGGGTTGATCTCGTGCTTACTTATACCCTGATGAAAATGTTGGTTGAAAGAGAAGCATGCAAAGGTTAGAGCCTAGCTTTTCCAGAGTTTATATCCCTCACCTTCACCACTGGCATTCTCAGAACAGCAAGCAATAGAAAACTGAACAGAACACTACAATCTACAGTCCACTTAATAAAGATGTAGGAAATTAATTCTGATGCCGTACTAGCAGAAGTCTGCAGGCACAATGGAATGTTCTGCCTCCTCTGTACTGCCGGAAAACCTGCTCTAGGGGGGTTCCAGACTTCTAGTTCAGGGTTTGAATGTAGTCAGGGGGAACAATCATCATCCTTCTTCTGGTTCCACTCCTAAAATTGCTTCCAGTAGCACAAAAACATTTTAACCAATTTCTATAGCTGTTAGCTTAAAATAAATAAGTGTACGTGAACCAGATTGTGATGGACAACATTAGGCCAAAGGGAAAAGAATCTCTGTAAATTTACCATTTTGAAAATGAAGACAAAAGCCCTTTGACATCTTTAGTGCTCAACATTATTCAACAGGCCAGTGTGGTTAATGCTGTAGATCTATGTCTCATTTAAAAAAAAACCCAAACAATTTAGGAAATTAGTAAAACAAATAGAATATCCATCTTACCTATTTTTCCAAGCGTCCTATATCCCTCACGATTATTCTGTGTGAACATGGGAATTATGGGCTAAGTAAAGAGAAAAACATTTTGAGAACATGAGCAAAATACCAACCTGATTTTAATTAGACTACTTCATACTTGGAGAGTAAAACAATTAATTGATTAGGACTATTTGGTCTGTTCTTAGTTATTGGAATCAGACTCCACACATGTGCATGCATGAGCAATTTTTAAAAGGAAGCTGCCATACTGGGAAAGGATGTTCTTGCTGCAGCTGCACTTGTGTCAGACTCTGGGCAACTCTGGGGCTCCATATGATGGTCACAACCAGAATGGCCCCCACAGGAATGGCAGGATCAGTCCCAGATGATCCTGCCATTCTTGCTGGGGCTCTCAGCCTCCTGGTAGGTACCAGCTGGCTGTTATGGAGGAAGAGCCATGTAAAAGCAAGCTCTTTCCTCCATTGCAATATAGGTCTTTCTGCTTCCTGTAGTGTGGTCTACCCACAGCATGTAACCTGCCAATTGCTTGTGCCAATTCTGACTTGCTTATTGCAGTTTCTGCCATTCCTGAATCCCTCCTTGCTTATTCTGCCCCAAGTATCTGTTCTCTGCTCTGTTTTTCTTCCTGATTCTTGATCTCTGCCTCGCTCATGACCATGCTCCTGTCGTTTTCTAATAGGCACTCCTGGTTCAGGACTTTGGCCTGTTTCTTGACCATGTTTTGCCCCTGACCCAACTACTAAAGTGGTGCCTCAGCTCACGAATGCCTTGTTTCACAACCAAATCAGATCATGAACAAAAATTTCATGAAAATTTTGACTTGGGTTGTGAACTCCGCATTGGGTGGCAACCAAGATTGTGGCCATCTCCCCACCTGTCCAAGTGGGGAGATGGCCATGATTGCAATTGCGTTTGTGCAGGGAAGACATGCATGATCAGGCAAGATGGGCGTAATCTCGGCCATCTCCCCCCTTCCCAAGCAGCACGATCGCGGCCATCTCCCCACCCCATCACCCCGAGTGGGGAGATGGCCATGTTCGCAGTTGCGTTCATGTAGGGAAGACACAGAGGAGCTGACGACAGAAGAACTTGCTGAACTCCAGAGTGAGCAGCAGAAGGCACTTGCTGAGGAGGATCCCTCTGAGGAAGAGGAAGACAGGGAGGAGGTTAGCAGTGATGTGATACAATCCATTATGAAAACATGGAATGAGTGCCAGGATTTCTTTGAGAAGCACCACCCCAACGTAACTGTAACGAACAGAGTGTTGAATCTGATGAACGATAATGTGGTCTCTCATTTCCGAAGGGTTATGCAGCACAGGAAAAAAACAAGTAACTATAGACAGATTTTTCACCAAAATTGACCCTGCAGCTAAGAGACAAAGAAGAGAGGAAACCCCTGAAAGAGATCTCCCCAATGTCCTTATGGAGGGGGCTCTCCCTCAAAACAATAGCCTTCCCCCACCTAGGTTAGTGTTCTCCACTGTACTGTACTGTACTTTGTTGTTTGTCACTTTGTTTCAAATTTTTCTGATAAAAATAGTTACAGAACAGATTGACCTTATTTACATTGAACAATATGGGGAAATTTGACTTGGGTCACAACCAATTTGGCTCATAACCAGAGTTGTGGAACGGATTAAGTTTGTGAGCCAAGGTACCACTGTAGTATTTAGACTGCAGTGCCTTAATTTCTGCTGCCTGGGTCCTGGTGCCTCTGTCTTGAGTCCCGCTATCCATGTCCTGGACCCTGACAAGCTGCTGCTCCTGAAAACAAAATGGCTTGTCAAAGGTTTCTGTCTTTGTTTTAAAGGAGGTACTTCAGCACGCAGCTGTCCAATTATTCTGATCCCATACTTCTTTAATTAGCAATGTATCCATGGTAACCATTAGGTGACAAGCTGCATCTACTATGGGAAGCAGTTTGTGCTGATGCCCATAGCAGTGTCCCAGGTGCCCATGGGTCCAAACACTTTGGAGACCCCTGTTGCAGTACATGTGCACCTTGCACTTTATGCTGTCCCCTGCCTCTGCCCCCTTCTTGATCCCTCTATCCCGAATCTGTTAGCTGCAAAAAGAACACATTCCTGTTGATATGCCTGCTCCACCTATGCATGCAACCAATATCTTCAGTTCCATTTTGGCTAACAAGTGGGATAGAAATTTAATAAATACATAAATACATACATACATTTTCGAACTTAAGATTCAAATAAGGTGGGGGGTTAGGATGAGCTGCAGTTCATTTTTATTGATGCATCTTTTAGGCTGCAATCTTATACCTACTTAATTAAAGGTAAAGGTAAAGGTTTCCCCTTGACATTAAGTCCAGTCATGCCTGACTCTAGGGGGCGGTGCTCATCTCCATTTCCTAGCCAAGGGAGCCAGTGTTTGTCTACAGACAATCTCCGTGGTCATGTGGCCAGCATGACTAAACACCAAGGTACATGGAATGCTGTTACCTGCCCACCAAAGTGGTACCTTTTTTTCTACTTGCATTTGCATGCCTTTGAACTGCAAGGTTGGCAGGAGCTGGGAAGGAGCAACAGGAACTCACCCCATTGTGCAGATTCGAACTGGCACCCTTTTGATCAACCAGCCCAGCAGCACAGCGGTTTAAACCACTGCGCCACCTGCATCCCTACCCACCTAATTACAGGTTATTTATTTATTATGTTTATTTCTTGCCTCTTTTCCTGCAAGGAACTCAAGATGGCTTACATCCTCCTCCTCTCAATCTTATCCTCACTACAACCTGCTGAGGCTGACTGTCAGTGACTGGCCCAAAGTCATCAAGGGAACTTTGTGATCAAGTGGAGAATAGGAACCAGGTATTCTGTGCAATGCTAACCACTAAACTACACTGGCTCTCAGTGGTAGGGTTCACACATCAAAATAAGCAACTGTGCTTAGCCCACATTGTGTTTTTTCTGTAACATACCCATCGGATGATCAGGCTCCTCCCTCCCTCCTCCCCTCTCAGTCTTCCATGTGATCTCCCAGGAGACACCACAGGAAGGAATGAGAGTTCTCCTTTTGAGAACTGCAATTATGAGCTGGGCTCAGCTTGCTGGGCCTTTCAAGCAGTCTTTCTTGCAGTAACAGGGCTTATGTCCTGAAGTGCCGCAGAAAGGACAAGGGAGCTGATGGGGCACCCTTACTTTCTGTCCAGAGGTGACTGCTGGAGTAGGAGGGGAATGCCTGATTCATGCTCAGGCAAAAAGGGGCAAAAACAGCTGGTCACCATGCATCAGAGACGACAGCACAGAACAGCAACAAAGGCATGTAAAGGATTGCTCTCTAACTTTATTTTATTTGTGGGTGGGAGTGGGAGGTGGGGTGCCTTTATTTGATTTGTGGTGGCCGCTGCATTGCCATTTTGTGACTTTCATTCACAACACTTCCTTGGGATCACAAATGTGGTCATGGACACAGTTGGAGAACCCAGTATAAGAAAGTGACAGCTCTGCTCTCTAGCCTTCATAAAGAATGAGCCCGTAAACACAATGAAGGCTAGAGAAAGCAGACAGATCACGAAAGCAACTGTCTTACCACCACACTTTAAGAAGGAGTAGAATAAATTGGAACAAGTTTAGAGAAGTACAGCAAAGTTTTCTAGCAGACTAGAAACTAAGACCTATTTGGAAAGATGAAAGAAATGTGTATATTTACCTTTGAGAAAAGTAGAATGGGGAGGGGCATGATAGCATTTTTTCAAGTATCTTAAAATATGTTTTTAAGATGATAAATATGAGTATTAAGGGAGATATACTTTGATTGTCACAGGATATACTCACCACTTTTGCATCTATGGCAAGCTGAGCAAAACCTATACGTTTAGCCCATATCATTTTATAATTTTCATCACTAAAGAGGGCTTCTCGCGTTCCTCCTGGTGAAACACCCAACAAATTACATTTGAGAACAGAAAGACAAGCTTCCTTTGTACCAGTTATCATAGACAATTTCTCAAAAAGGATTTGATAACCTGTAAAAAAGCAGTAACATTATACAATCAGTAAATATGGCAGCCAAACATGTTGAATTAAAAGAATATTTGTTTCCTTTCAAACCAAATATATTTTCTTTGTAAAATCCCTTTTTATCCCTACTATTGGATTAAATAGTTTTATTTGTTTACATAAAGTTACTTTTTTACTACTTGGCATTTCAGGATTCCAGGTGGTTTACATAAAATTATATGATCCAGTCAAAAACTATTAGCAACAATAAAAACAATACATACTTTTTAAATATATTACAAGTTCAGTACACAGAGCAGCACCATAAACTCTTCCAAGTCAAGGAAAGCCTGAGCAAACAAGTGCATTTTAAAGACTGAAGGAAGACATTTAAAGATGGCTACAATTTCTTTTCTTCAGCCCCACATGGAAGAGCATTACAATGAGTGCAGGCATCTGTCAAGGAAGCTGTGTGGTCACATCCTATTAATTACCAATATAGCCTCCTCAGGAGGTCTCAGAGTATGATCTGGAGTATATAGGGGGAGGCAGCCAACTAGGTATCCTGAGTTGTTTGATATCAACAACAAAATCTTGAAAATGTCTCAATAGTTAAGAGGCAGTCAGTACAGTTCTTCTACAGTTCTTCTTCACAGGAGTAATATGTGTACAACCAAGGATTCAATTGAACATCCTCATTGCTGCATTATGCACTACAGATTCTGAACCAAGCACAAGGGTAGACTCACACAGAGAACTTTACAGTAGTCTAATTCTGAAGTTATCAGTGCACAAATCACTGTAGTTAGACACTCTCCAGCAGTACTGGCACGCCAACCAAAGCTGGGAATGGTTGGTCCAGATCACTGGAATACAGCATGTTGAACTCACCCTCCTGTATTAAGAGTTCAGGTTTGTGCTGTTTGTTTCCCAAACTCCAGGCATTAGTATATATACAGTGAAAACCATGTGCTTATACTCTAGCATTCTGTCTATACTTTTGGAAAACTATTATTGTGCTCTTAGACCTGCCTTTTCCATTGTGGTGCCTTTGTCCATTTTTACCACCAGGTATACCTCTCTCTCCCCTTTATGACGACGTTTAAAGCCCTCCTGATAAATTTCTTCATGCTGTGTCCATACACATTCTTTCCATTCCTTGTAAGGTGCAACCCATCCCTTGCCATCTTCCAGGAGGTGTAGTCCACGGTGTCAGAATCCAACTCTTGCATGTTTGCCTCACCTTTGAAGCCAGGCATTCATGAAGAGTATTCTTCTTTTCCCTTTTATTCCTCTTCCAGGAACTGAAAGGATGGAAGAGAAAACTGTCTGGGCCTTAAATTTATTGACTTTCTCCCCACAAGGCTTCAAAGTCTGACATGCTTTCTTCAAAATTCTGTATGCCAGTGTCATTTGTTCCCACATGAATAAAAAGGAAGGAATATGTATCAGTGAGCTTTATGAGACTTGGCAATTCTTCAGCTACATATCTAATCTGTCCTCCAAGGAGACAGCATACCTGATGAGTCCATGGCTCTTTATGGCATGTGTTTGTCCATTTCAGGCAGCAGGGAGTCTCCCCACATGGCACTCTTCTCTCACAACTCAGATTCGTCTTGTTCTTGCAGGCCTGGGCATCATTGCCACTACTTGACTAACCCTCAACCTCTTGCTTGGTGTTGAATGAGATGACTTCTAGTTTAAGCAAGGAAACAAGCATTGCACAGTCCTTGCAGGTCACCACCACTGGGGAGTCTTCTCAGTCCATAGTCTCTGTTGTCGTTTTTGATACGTTCTTTGATGATCTTATTGTAACAGCCTGTGCTTTTCCTGTCTTTCCTGAAGGTTAACAACAGAGTCTTCTTTACCTCCCGCTTACAACTCCATTGCCAGACTCCTATCAGCACTCCCAGTTCTGTCGTTTTAGTGCCAAATGTAGAGAAAGCTCCTAGACCAGTCAGGCCAGCTGCTTCTGCTCTGCTCTGCTCACCTGGGAGTCAGGACCAGAATGAATCTTCCTGCCCACACAGCTGCTGAAAGTAATGAGTTGACTTCCCTTCAATTGCAGCTCTCAGCAACACACGGTGAGCACATCCATTTGGAACAGACAGTCCCTGTGCTACTCCAGGCCACTCCCTCCTTTGCCTCTGCTTTTGTGTCCTCTTCCTCTGCAACTCTGCTGTGAAACTCCCATTAGCTCTCCTTCTTGGCTTCTCTTTGGGAGTTTGCTTCCTTGCTATTATAGTGTCCCTAGACCAGTTGGGCAGCTTCCTCTGCTCTGTTAGAAGTCAGGAACCAGAATAATTGGTGAAATATCCACATGATTTAATGAATTAACTGTATATTGTTCCTAGACTGCAAGCCTGCAGAAATGTGTACCACGTAAGGCAGACTGCAGTGCTTCAGGCATTTAAATAGCCATTCACAATGGCAGCCCTACCAAAGCCAATCGCTCAGATCCTGATATCTGCAAATCTTGCTGATTTGATGTTTGGTGCCTGGAAAAGCCATTTGAAAAGTATCTGGTGGGGTGCTCGAAATGGCCAAATCAGCTGGAGCCAGTGTACTGGCTAGAGTCACAGTTACAGCAGATTGACTGAGGTTCAAATGCTAAGTTGCCCATGCAACACAGCGTGAGAGTCTTTTAGCATGACTACCTTAAAGGGTTGTTGTGTGGATAGCATGCTGAGGTATGCCATCATGTATGCCACCATGAGCTGCTTGGAGGAAAGATGGAGTCTAAATTAGTAAATTAAATACAAATGAAAACAAATTTATATCACCTGGGAATTTTTTGGCAAATCGATCAACCACAGAATGGCAAAGCCTCTTTTGCACAAGATATAACCTTGCTATGAAGAAAATATAGTCCAAAGGAATAGCTCCATGGTAGTAAATAATAAGCCCAGATCCTTCTGGTAGGTTTTCAATGCCATGCAGTTCATAACCTATTTATAAAACATAGAATAAAGTCAATGATCTAGAGAAGTGCATTATAAGCCATTTTTGTAGCACCAAGAATTTTAAGATACAGCAGTCTACAAATAGTGCTTAGGCTTGGTACACAAACATTAGTTTTTGCTTGTGAGTCCAGTCCCATCATGATAAGACTAAAATATTTATATAAATTTATCAATACAGATATTATCTAATGAATGGATGTAGGTATAGCTCTCAGACCTGAGATAGCAAACTGATGAAGATACAAGCTGGCTAGGCAGCTTGCCCATGCCATATATAAACCTCTATATATTCCTGATTGCTAAGGTCAGTATATTGACAGTGTATGCCTGTCCATCTAAGTGATGGTGTAATTAAAAGTTTGTTTATATTACACAATAAATTATATATTTGGTAGTTAAAGGAAAACTATCTAGTGGACCAGTCTTTCCTCATGTTAGAATATAGAAGACTGCTGCGGGGATGGAGTTCCTAAGTTTGGACCTAGTTTGCTAATATGTACAACAAGAGTTCGATGAAGATAAAGGTTTATGAAACTGGATTATGTTGAGGGGAAAAGAAAAGAAAGAGTTGGAAATGGAGCCAAGAACAGAAAGAAGTGGTCAGGCACTTTCCCTCCTTATTGGATGCCTCGCTTTTAATTTGTCGGAGCAATATGCAGCCTGGATACACCCGATGTCATGCACTACAGCTGCCACCCTGCCCAGCCAGTATGGCCAATGGCACGACAGACAATGCACAGTAAAAGAAGAAAAAGGCAAACAGGCCACTTTTTCTTACCATGCCATATTCTTCCAAAGATATCCCACAGATATGCTAACGTTAAAACACATCCATTGGAGAAATGTTCCTTCATCACAGGAATTTTATCATAAATCAGGACGACAAAAACAGATAGATAGACATAACAAAAAATCCAGATAGGAACAACTATTAATGCCAACAGAGACCACTTGATCCCCAAAAGTAAGTATTTCTCAGAATGCATCATGCCTATCCATTCTCCAAATATGTATGTTAGGTTTGTGGAGGAAATCATGGGTATGCTTTCTGTGAAAACACTTCAGGATGTGTTTCTTTTTACTTCCTGGATAAAACAAAACAAAACAAAATGTGTCAAAATAAGCTGGAGAAAGAACATAAGAACATTAAAAGAGCTATGATGGATCATACCAATGGTGTATCCAGTCCAGTTTTGTGTTCACACAGTGGCAAACCAGCTGCCCACAGAACTCCTCAAGCAGGATGGGTACAAGACCTCAACCTGCCCAAGCTCCTCAGCAACTGGAATATGCAGGCATGCAGGAGTTGCTCCAGCCCCTTGATAATTTTTCTACTTGTTCCAACTCAGTAATGTTCTTTTTCAGATAAGGCAATCAGAAATGTAAAAAGTATTCTAAGTGTGGGCATACCAATGATTTGTATAGAAGTACAATCTTGGCAGTTTTATTGTCAATTCCTTTCCTAATTATGATTAGCATGGAGTCTTCCTTTTCCAAAGTAACTATGAACTGGACCAACTTTCTCATCAAGGTGTCCTCCACAACCCTAAAATCCTTTTCTTGATCAGTCACTGGTAGCTGAAATCCCATCAGCTTATACTTGAAGTTGGAATTTTGCCCCAACAAAACAACATGCATGACTTTGCACTTGCTTACACCAAACTTCATTTGCCATTTTGATATCTGTTCTCCTAGCTTGGAAAGATACATTTTGCCACAGCTTTGGTATCAACATGGATCATGACCACTGACTGTATCGCTGCACTATTTACAGGGCTATCTAGATAGCTGCAACCTTCACAGCAGGCAGACAATTCACCATGTGATCTACATGCCCATTGCAAGCTCAGCTATCAATGTGTCTAATGACTGAATATCCCACTACCTGTAGTATCAACTCCAGTAGGCATATCCTTGGTGTGAGAGGATACATACATGCCTTCCAAGGAATGGGTCCATTCAAAGGGATCGTTTTCTTCTTCCTCATAAGGATGCCCTCCTTCCCTGACACCTCCATTTTCCATGACAGCAGAGGAGCTGCCACTCAGGAGTTGTCCTATCATCTAACCTCTCTGCCTCTCTTTGATCCTCCAAATGGTCAACCTTGGTTTCAAGGGAATGCTTGAGCCATGAGCACAAACCCACACCTTCTGTTCAGTTGACAGCTAGTTATACATGTGGCATTCAGTGGTGGAGAGCATCCATACCTTGCTGGATCTCAACCATCATAATTAGTTTAATTGGCATCATTGAGTTTGTACTCCTGAAAAACCTATGGGATTTTTAATTGTATTTGTGCCCTTGTCATGCCTTCACTTATTAATCTATCAGTTTAGGATGGTTATATAGAGTAATTGCTATATATAGATATAAAGGATATCAGTAAGTTTTACTTGGCCAGTTGCTTAACTCACTGGTGGATATTGCTTTCTCACTAGGGATGGGACTCTCCATCAATGGGGCTCCATTTTATATATATATATATTCTCCACATATGTCAAAACTGCCATGGCACCCAAATTGCCCATGCCCATACATTCCAACTCTTCATGGAAAAGGGGACTGTTATATCTCTGAGCCTGTCACAAGGATCATTGCCTGAGAGCCCCTCACACTACTCTGCTTAATTTTATTGAAAATTCTCCCTTATGTAATATGTTACCTGTCCATCTATTCTAAAATAGTATATCCTGACTGGCTGCTGAAACTGGGCTGCTGAAACTGGGTACAATCACTGAGTGTATTGATATATTTTTTAAAAATAACAAGGTTACAGTCCCTATATATTAGAGATCTTTAGAAGTACAATTTTTCCAGTGTTCCTAAGAATTTAGCATGGACATTAGATACCCTGGAAAATGCACATCCCAGGGCTTATACTAGGGATACCACATAAGTTTTCATGAGGTTTTTCCTCTCTCTTAGTGAACAATTCATTTACTTCTTGCCACAGCAGTTCATGAGATAAATCTGCTGGGCACAGGTAACACAAGACTTAGCAACCACTACAACAAAGCATTGGTTTTGAGGGTAGTTTGCTGTCCCTCAGTGGCTGAGTTCAGACAATGCAACAAGCCATGGTGAATTTGTACCATTGTTGGTCTGTGATGCTGTCTGAGCCCAGCCATGGTATTTCATCATGATAAGTTTGGGGTTTAGAAACCATAAAAAGAAACAATGGCTTGTTCTATGGTTTCTCTGTACCACCATGACTTGTCACATTGCCTGAGCCTAGGACCACGGATTCCACAGTCCTGTTATGCAGCTGCCACAGAATTCTCTGGAAAAGGCTGTAATTGCAGAAGCCACCCCAGCCTAAGAGGAAGAGGCAGACAACATCGGCAGGGAATGAACTTCAGGTGCAGTGACTGATTGTATATGTGCTAACAGCAGGAGGACTGAACAGGGAAAATGGAAAGCACAGTAAAGTAGACAGACTTGATTTTCAGGTAGATCGTGGTACTAAACTGCAAATCATGGAAACTATGCAGGCTTTCTTGTAATACTAAGTGAATGTAGCCAGTGTGGATTCAGATGACATGGCAGCACAACATAGTAGTTACCCATGATGGGTTGTTATATCCCATCAAACATTGTCACTGTCTACCTATGCAGGTATAGGTATGACATACAGTACAATCACGATGTATCTGTCCTTTCCTTCCACCATGTCTTTAAAGATTTCAGAAGGATGTAAGACTGTATACATTGTGTGTATGAGTGTGTAACAGATATCTAGAGAGAGAGCAGAGGAAACAGAGGAGCTCTGGCCTTCGCCATGGCCACCACTGTCTTCACTACATCCACCATCCTCTCTTCCACCATCCTGTCATGTTGCCCTCCCGTGCTCTAGTAGTTAGAATAGCTTCCAGATGTTAAATTTTAATTCACAATATTCAATCCATTGTAACATAATTATATTTTCCATTCAATTGCTTATAGAGTTTATCTTTTTAAGTCACAGAGTGGTTTTATCTTTTCAAGGAATATACTTCAAGGAAGTATAAGCTGTTTCTTGTTATATGCTGTTTTGTTTTTTGTTTTCCATCTGCAATCTTGCTAAGGCCACTCAAATCTTTCCCCTTTATTTATTTTATTGATTTGGAATATTTATATATTGTTTCCCATTTAAAAGAAAACTGAAGCTGTTCACAATATATAACAAAACAATACAAACTGAAACAAATTTACATTAAGGTAAGTTAATGGTTGGGGAAAGCCAGGGTGAACAAGTTTGCTTTTAATAATCCTAGAAAGCACCTGGTAGTTGGTGTGCGCCACACTGAAGAAAGGACATTGTCCCAGAGAGAGGGCATTACCATAAAGAAGGCCTGTTGTCATGCTGCAGCCAGATGGGATTCTGCAGAGTTTGACACTGACAGCAAGGCCATCCCTACTGTGGTCTGAGGGTGCCAACCTACCAATCACTAGGATATTGTTAAAGGTAAAAGGTAGAGGTAAAGGTTTTCTCTTGATGTTAAGTCTAGTCATGTCTGACTCTAGGGAGCGGTGTTCATCTCCATTTCCTAGCCGAGGGAGCCAGTGTTTGTCTGCAGACAATTTCCATGGTCATGTGGCCAGCATGACTAAACACCGAAGTGCACAGAACACTGTTACCTTCTCACCGAAGTGGTACCTTTTTATCTACTTGCATTTGCATGCTTTCGAACTGCAAGGTTGACAAGAGCTGGAACTGAGCAACGGGAACTCACCCCGTTGTTCAGATTCGAACCGGTGACCTTTTGATCAACCAGCACAGCAGCACAAACCACTGCGCCACCTGCATACCTAGGATATTGTTAATAACCTCCAAACCACCTGGAATAGCTCTGCTGGTCGGCTACCTGAGGATGCAATGGAGTCAATAACTAATTCTGCTGCTCTTACTGCCACAGCATAGGCATGATTATGCGTTGATCAATTTCACAGTAGGTCTAACACCACTGACACTTGTCTATACTTATAAAACATTTCCACACACCCTGACTTAAATAGGAACACATAATACATTTCTGCAAATGAAGCAGTGCATGGAAATGGGACATTACATGAAAAACAGTACACTTCTTACCTCTGAAAGTTGGACAATCATTTCAGTGCTTTCTTAAGTAGGCTATTAGATTCTCAATCAATATGATATAGATGCTATTTTAATCAATGTAACAACACTCCAAACAACTGTGTACAATACCACTTGTAAACTATTTCCTTTTAAACAGAAAACCGAAAGAGAAGTTTTAAGTATGTAATCCTATATTGTCTTACCTCAGAATAATTGTGACTGAATTCAGTAAGTGTTCCTTCTGAATGGACATACATAAGTTTGGGCTATGAGAAATTCAGTAAGTTAAAATCTTCTGTTTCATCAGGCAATCTATTTATGCCTATTGGTTATGGAAGTCAATCTCAGTTTTCAAATTGGAGTCCAGTCCCCAGTCTCAGCTTAAAATGACTATCAAATATGCAAGCAGATTACCATTGTACCTCTTCTTTTTCACTCCTCTTTAAACTGATGAACTTACAAGAGTTGTCCCAGCCTGAGAGATTTTATTCAGTATTCAGTCAAGCATTTTACTTCATTTCTTCAGGTGGCATAGTGATTCCACTGACTGAATCTGTTCAATCTGTAATTGTTTGGTGGTAGGAGGTATTTATCTCCTTGTTACTCCTCCAGGGTATTGCATCACTTATATGACTGTAGCTACTTATCAAAATCTATTTATTAGTGATAGATTGTCTTTCTTCTTATTCCTTAGTTGCAGCCTCTCACAACCTGATACCCTATCAATGTTTTGTACATAAACACCCATCACTCTCAACATCCAGAGGGCACCAGTGTTGCAATATATGAATGTAACAGAATGTTTTTCTGTGTATTTAAGCTAAAGAAAGTTGAGCTATTGCTAGGCAGAATGCTATAAGCAATAAGATTTTGACATAGTTGACCAAAAAGATCCAGGAAGGGGTGGGGGTGGGGAACCCACTAGCAAATCTAATTAGTGTAGCTATGCTAAACATAAGATTGTAATTATGGCTG